AAACTGGCTCTATACCAAACAGGCGGTAGATCAAGATAGGGAGCCGTGTTAATCTATCTGTAGCAGTAGGAAAGAAGAAGAGAAGAGATTGGATTTATACCCCCACCCTTCACTTGGAGTCTCAGAGCGGCTTACAAACTCCTTTCCCTTCCCCTCCCCACAACAGACACCCTGTGAGGTGGGTGGGGCTGAGAGAACTCTGACACAAACTGCTCTTTTTCAAGAACAGCTCTGACAGAACTATGGCTTGCCCAAGGTCATCCAACAGCTGCGAGTGGAGGAGTGGGGAATCAAACCCGGTTCTCCCAGATTAGAGTCCGCGCACTTAACCACTACACCAAACTGGAAAGAAGAAGAGTCCAGTAGCACCTGAAAGACTACCAAAATTTGTGGCAGGGAATGAGCTTTCAGGAGTTACTGCCAATGTTCCCTCTAAGCTGTGGAGTCTTGTGAGCAAAAGTCCTACTTTGTGAGCTACTGGCATGAAAGTTGTGAGCGAGCGATTTGGCTGCTGCATCAGTTAGTTTGCTCTGGAGCCCCTCCTTCCTGAGCTTAGACGAGAATGGGAGGCTAAAAAACTGTGACCTAGCTCACACTAACTCAGATTAGGGGGAACACTGGTCACTGCTCACCTCTTCAGATATCTGTTAGTCTTTCTTCAGATCTGAAAAAGTCAGCAGTGACTCACAAAAACTCACAAAAGCTCATTCCCTGCCACAGATGTTGTTAGTCTTTCAGGTGCTGCTGAACTCTTGCTGTTCCACTAGGAAATTTCTTCTGTCCAGAGTCTGGAGGAGCTAGTAGATTATTCCTGGGGACATTGTTTTCCGGTCATGCCATTTGAATTTGACTGGGGGGGAGGGAAAAGCTGTACCCTCCACACACAAAAATACCACCCCCTGTGCTCCTGACCCACCTGGACCTTCTCGGCAAACATTTATTGATTGAGATCTGGGGCAAGGGACGCTCTGTATTCTTGGTGCTGGGGGGGGCAACAGTGGGAGGGCTCCTGGTGTCCTGGCCCCACTGGGGGTCCATCAGTGGCTATTAGCCACAAGGTATAGATAGGGGCTCTGGGGCAAGTGATGCTCTGTCTTTTTGGTGCTGGGGGGGGGGGTCAACAGTGGGAGGGCTCCTAGTATCCTGGCCCCACTGGTGGACCTCCTGATGGCACCTGATGTTTTTGGCCACTGTGTGACACAGAGTGTTGGACTGGATGGGCCATTGGCCTGATCCAACATTGGCTTCTCTTATGTTCTTATAATATGGGTTGCCGTGTTAGTCTGTCTGTAGCAATAGAAAAGAGCAAGAGCCCAGTAGCACCTTAAAGACTAGCAAAATTTGTGGTCAAAGAGGATTATCCTTCTGCCCCACTAAACCCACACAGATAATACAGACAGCTCTGTGGAGACCTGGAGGCCTCCCCGTTGCAGTGTACTCAAACTTTCACAACAGAACAGAACATGCTCAGACAGACAAATCTCCTTATGGCTTCAACAATCTACTTTCCCCTCCTCCTTTCTGCAAAAGTTCCTTCCCGGGAGAGGGGGAAGAGTGTACACTCTCTTTTGCACTTCTTCAGGAGACTTTGCAAAGGGCCACCCGCTTGGATTGGCTTTGGGGGGGTGTCTCCCTTCTTCCTCCAGAGCAGCCCGGGGTCCTGGGGGCGGAGCTCCACGCCAAGGCGCTGCCTTGCCCTGCCTTCCATGCTTCTCCTCACCCCTACCTGTGGCAAGGTGGAAAGGGTTCACGCAGGTGCAGTGGAAGGAAGGAAGGAAGAGTTTGTTGCACTGGTCCGAAGCCGGCCAGGGTAAGGAGCGACCACGCCCTCTCCCTCCCTGCTCCTTTAATTTAATTTAAATGAAATTTTATTTTATTTTATTAGGGCTCCCCCGGCGCCCCCCTGAAAATATGAGGCTGCTTGGTGGCCTCCCTTCCAGTTTCCAGTTTCAGTTTATTGTCTTAGCCATTGGCCATAACAACACAAAATAAAGCAAAAATAATAAAATAAAATGCAACAAACATTATACATCAAAGTGGGATAAACCCTTCAACAACTTTCAGTAAGTCCTAGACTCAATCTTATCTTTTTTTTGCCGCCAGTGCAAACAAGGCCATTCTGCTGGCAACATGTGCATCAATATCAGATAGCGAGAAGACAGTCAAATCCTGCTCTGAAATTCTATTATGCAATGGTACAATCGGATAAATAAACCTTTGCCTAAGTGATTCGTGCCATGAACATCTCAGGATGTAATGCTCGACATCCTCCACTTCGCCCACACCCTTCCAAATACTGACCAGGACCTAGTCTGTTTAGCTTCCAAGATCTGATGAGATCAGGCTAGCCTGGACTATATCCAGGTCAGGGCGTGGCAGGAAGCAATTTGTATCACATAAGGAGCATCTCTTGAGGAAGGCCTGCATCCTGTGAGAAGACATCTTTCTTGAACTGGCCTTGGACCCGTGTGTGTAAGGAGAAGGAGTCTTACATTAGAGAGCCACTGAGGAACAGAAACACATTTGAAAATCCCCTCTCCTCCGTGAAACTTGCTGGAAAGTTTGGCTCCCTGCTATTTCTCTCTCTCTCGTTCCGCCTAGCCTACCTTACAGGGCTGTTGGGAGGATAAAGTGGGGGAGAGGAGAACTTTCAGTGCCACTCTGAGCTCCATGGAAGAAGGAACAGATTTTTTAAAAAAACCAACGAGTGAGAATAAACAGTTTTCTTCTTCCTGCAGCGTCTGGTGACCTTGGAGGAAGTGTCTGTGTATTTCACCCAGGAGGAGTGGGCCCTGCTGGATCCAGACCAAAGAGCCTTGTACATCGAAGTCATGCTGGAGAATTGTGAGAATGTGGCCACTCTAGGTAAGCCTCCTGCTTTCTTGCTATCTGTAGACTAAAAGAGCTCCCCAACACAGAGACGATGGCTTGATAAGGTCTGAATGCGCTCATTGCACTTGAGAAGCCGTAGAATAACAAGTGTAGGTGAATTTCCATTGTGAAAAAAGTGTGTCTAGTAATAGCACACTTGGTTTCTGTGCAAGACGTTTCATTTTGAATTACATTCATGATTCTTCTTCTTTGGTGCCTGGCACATTAGAATACATAAGAACGTAAGAGAAGCCAATGTTGGATCAGGCCAATGGCTCATCCAGTCCAATACTCTGTGTCACACAGTGGCAAAAATTCAGGTGCCATCAGAAGGTCCACCAGTGGAGCCAGAACTCCGGCAGCCCTCCCACGGTTTCCTCCCAAGCACCAAGAATACAGAGCATCACTGCCCCAGACAGAGTGTTCCATATAGATCTTGTAGCTAATAGCCACTGATGATCCATATGTTTATCTGATCCCCTCTTGAAGCTGTCTGATCTTGTAGCCCCCACCACTTCCTGCAGCAGGGAATTCCATGCGTGAATTACTCTTTGGGTGAAGAAGTACTTCCTCTGATCTGTTCTAAGCCTACTGCTCCTTCATTTCATTGAGCGCCCATGAGTTCTCACATTGTGAAAAAGGGAGAAAAGTACTTCTTTCTCTACCTTCTACAAGAAGAGCCTTGTTGGATTAGACCAGTGGTCCGTCTAATCCAGTCTCACATTTCCTGTATTCACCAACCAGGTACCCTGAGTTTTCATAAACGGAAGAATACATGCCAGCGATTTCTCCCACTGTTGTTTCTTCCTGCTGAAAGAAGAAGAGTACCCCGCCCTTCACTACCCAAAGGAGTCTCAGAGAGGCTTACAATCGCCTTCCCTTCCTCTCCCCATAACAGACACCCTGTGAGGTAGGTGGGGCTGAGAGAGCTCTTGAGAGAACTGCTCTTGAGAGAACAGCTCTAAGAGACCTGTGACTGACTGACCCAAGGTCCATGTAGTGATCATAGCGAATAGCCTTTTATGCTACTGTCCTCCAAAAAATAATTAGCAGAGTTAAAGGGGATGTAAATCCTGCCATATATGAAAGTATTTTCTGTATTGTTGGTAGGAATAACAGCACCATAGCAAACCTCACTCTGCTCACACCTAGGGTAGGCTTCCTTCTAGGACGAGTTATCACACATGGGTACACTTTTGAGTTTAACCTGACCTCCACCTTACTGTCGAGACTCCTCTTGTGAATCAGAGCAGCAGACTCCTGAAGATTTAAAAGATAACAACGTGACTCAATTCTATGGGATTCATAGCTCACACAGCATCTATGTATAGGTGATCGGATTTAGTACTAACTTAGTTTGTTATGACTGTTGATGTATGTTGTAAAAAATTGTAATGGTGACTAACTGGTTGGTTTGTAATTTTGGATTCTCAGGACATTTGTATACTGTTTTGCAGTTATTATATGTATTGATATGTTATACTTTCTCTTAATAAACATTTTAAAAATGAAAAAAACCCCAAACACCTAGGCTAGGCTGCTACAGTACAATCTATCTGAGTCTGCCTTTGAAGACTGTTTAGAAGCTCCGGCTGGCACAGGTGTCAAAGGTGCTGTCACCTCAGATCTCACCAGCTTCCTTCCTTTCTTCCAGCAGGCAATGGGTGGAAGATTAAAGCAGAGAGGAAACCACGCCAGATCTCATTGGACACAGCCAAATCTACGAAAGAGAAACGGCGAGGAAGGAAAACTGAAGCAGAACAGAAGAGGAGGAATGACTCCCCTGCTTCTCAGTGTGCTGAATCCCAGGGCATCCCCTCAGCCCAAGGAAAAAACACATGCCCTGTGTGTGGGAAAAGGTTCACTTATAAATCAATTTTTGATACACACTGGAGAATCCACACTGGGGAGAAACCATTTAAATGCTTGGAGTGTGGAAAGGGCTTTACTCAGAGCACCACCCTTACGTTACATAAGAGAACACACACAGGGGAGAAGCCATATGACTGCCTGAAATGTGGAAAGAAGTTCAGCCGTAGCTCAACTCTCACATCGCATAGAAGAATTCACACGGGAGAAAAACCGTACAAATGTTTAGACTGTGGGAAAAGCTTCCGGTGGTACACATGCCTTACGCTACATCAAAGAATCCATTCACACACAGGCTCCGAAGGTGGAAAGAATTTCAGCTGGAGGTGCACCTCTATGTCCCAACCAAAAGCCCACCTAGGAGAAAAACCATATAAATGTACCGACTGTGGAAAGACTTTCAGAAAAAGAACAGATCTGATTTCTCATCAAAGAATTCACACAGGGGAGAAACCCTACAAATGCTCAGAGTGTGGAAAGACTTTCAGATGGAATACCCAACTGAGCTTGCATCAAAGAACGCACACAGGGGAAGAACCATATACATGTTCCCAGTGTGGAAAGAGTTTCAGTCGAAGTACGCATCTCAGTTCACATCAAAGACTTCACACAGGGGAGAAACCATATAAATGCCCCGAGTGCGGAAAGAACTTTAGCTGGAGTCGCAACCTGTTGTCCCATCAAAAAATCCACCTGGTAGAAAAACCATATAAATGTTCAGATTGTGAGAAGAGTTTTGGAAACAGAACAGATCTTAATTCCCATCAGAGGATACACACAGGGGAGAAACCTTATAAATGCTCAGAGTGTGGAGAATCGTTCAGTTGGAGTACTCAGCTGTCTTCACATCGAAGAATACACACAGGGGAGGAGCGATTCAAATGCTCAGAGTGTGGGAAGAGTTTCAGCCGGAGCACAAGTCTTTCTTCTCACCAGAGAATCCACACAGGGGAGAAACCATACGAATGTTTGCAGTGTGGAAAGAGTTTCAGTCGGAGCACATATCTTACCTCACACAAAAGGATTCACACCGGAGAGAAACCTTACAGGTGCTCAGAATGTGGAAGGAATTTCAGTCAGAGCGCTCACCTCGCTTCCCATCAACGAATCCACACGGGAGAGAAACCGTTTCAGTGTTCTGAGTGTGGGAGGAGCTTCAGTCAAAGAAGAAACCTTGCATCCCATCAGAAGATCCATACAGGGGACAAGCCGTATCAATGCCTAGAGTGTGGAAAGAGCTTCATTCAGAGGAGAACCCTTATTTCCCATCAAAGAATGCACACAGGAGAGACTCCCATGGATCCTAAGTGTGCTCCCAGTATATCGCAGACAGCTGAAGGATCATAATGCACATCTCGTGTTCAAGGATTCAGACTAACCAAGACCATATGAATAATCAGAGTTGACATTTTCTGTCCAATGGAGCATCGGTGTCCAACAGAGATTCCATGCAGAAAGCAACGGTGTAAACATGTTTCAGTTAACTGTCTGGCACCTCCAGGAGTTTGGGAGGCAAATTTCAACTGGAATAACGTTGGAGCAGCTGGGAATCTGCCTGGTCCCTTCAGGGGTATTAACTTTTCCATCCAGTAGTCAGACAAGTCCTCCACCGGATGGGAGACCTCCAGGTTGACAGCTGTCATCGCCAAGAGAGAAAACACTGGGCTGGATCCTTTGACCTCCTCCTTGGGAGTGACCCCTTGTTAATGGAAGAGGACACCCTTTGGTTTCCAACCGTTAGTAGATCTCTAAAGTGACAAAAAAAATCCCAACTTCAAGTGTACACTATTGGGCATCCGAACTTGCTGAGACTGAGAGAGAAGAAGATTTTGGGGTCATGGTGGACAGCTCATGCTGCAGTGGTGAAAAAGGCAAACTCTGTGCTAGGGATTATTAGGAAAGGGATTGAGAATAAAACAGCTGATAGTATAATACCTCTGTATAGATCTATCATGCAGCCTCATTTCAAATACTGTGTACAGTTCTGGTCACCATATCAGTTTGGTGAGCCAGTTTGGTGTCGTGGTTAAGTGCGCGGACTCTAATCGGGGAGAACCGGGTTTGCACCTGGCTGGATGACCTTGGGCAAGCTGTAGTTCTGATAAGATACTCTCTGAAAGTTGAAATGCACCCTGGTGGTTTAAAACAAAAACAAAGGTAGAGCTCTGCACTTAGGGTATGTTGCATACAAACTGTGTTTCCATAAAAAGGGGAAAACGTTTTCCTTTGGGAGAAACCCTGCATATGCTCAGAGGTATTGTGTGACCCTTGGACTTTTTACTCCAAAAAGGAGGGGGGAACTGTTTACCTTGGGCAAGCCGTAGTTCTGATAAGAGCTATCCTTGAAAAAGAGCCTTTTCTGTCAAGAGCTCTCTCAGCCCCACCTACCCCACAGGGTGTCTGTTGTGGGGAGGGGAAGGGAAAGGAGTTTGTAAGCCGCTCTGAGACACCTTTGGGTAGTGAAGGGCGGGGTATAAATCCAATCTCTTCTTCTTCTTCAAAGGGACATTGAAGAGCTGGAAAAAGTACAGAGGAGGGCAACCAAGATGATGAGCGGTTAGGAGCACCTTCCCTAGGCAGAAAGGCTGAAGAGTCTGGGACTTTTCAGTTTAGAAAAGAGATGACTAAGGTGGGAACATGATAGAGGTTTATAAAATTAGGCATGAGGTAGAGAGAGTTGACAAAGAACTTTTTCTCCTCCCCCCAGAAGACTACAACTCAAGGGCATCCCATGAAGCTGATGGGCAGTAGGTTCAGGATGGACAAAAGGAAATACTGCTTTATACAGAGAGTGATTAAAATGTGAAATTCGCTGCCAGCGAATGTCATGATGGCCACAGGAAAAAACAGCTTTAACAGGGGATTAGATCAAGTCATGGAGGGATAGGTCTATCAGTGGCTACTATCCATGGTGGCTGAGGGGAAACTCCACATTCAGAGGCACTAATCCTCTGAATCCCAGAGCCAGGAGGTAACAACACGGGAATGCCTCAGTCTCTATGCCCTGTTGTTGGCCCTTCATGGGAACTAGCTGGCCGCTGTGTGAGACAGGATGCTGGACTAGGTGAACTATCGGTCTGATCCAGCAGGGCTCTTCTTACGTTCTTATGATACCCTACCTCTTAGGGTTCAATCCCCAGCGTCTCCAGTTAAAAGGACCAGGCAGAAGGTGATGGGACGGACCATTGTCAGTCTGAGTAGACAATACTGACTATGATGGATCAAGGGTCTGGTTCAGTAGAAGGGCATCTTCATGTGTGTTCATATGTGTTTAAATGGGTTTTCAAGTGTCTGGGTGTTTGTGGTTGCTGAGGGTTGGAGGTGGGGTTGTGCTACGATTTATGTTTGGAAGACAGAAGTGAGAGGAAGGCAAGGCAATTAAGGGGCAGGGAGGGGCGGAGCACATTTGTTGGTTGAGGGTGCTCTTGAATCAGTGCGTATGGCTGGAAACTCCGATTTCTTCTGTAATGCACAGCACCTTTTTGTGGCACCACTTGCAACCTTTCCTTGAGATGTAAGAGCTGGCCACGGTAAGCCTTGATCTGATTTCACCTTGGCTAGAATCTGACCATGTAAACTATGTTATTATTAATTATTATTATGGCAGTGTGTGTGGTATATAGCCAGGAGATCCTAAGATTATCTGGCATCCAGAAGTTCTAGCTCTTTTAGCATTATGTACCACTAGGTGGCGATCTAGGCTTGTTTTTAAGGCAAGAGACATTTCAGAGGTGGTTTGCCATTGCCTGCCTCTGTGTCATGACCCTGGTATTCCTCCCAAATACTAGCCAAGGCCAACCCTGCTTAGCTTCTGAGATCTGATGAAATTCGGCTGTCCTGGGCTATCCAGGTAAGGGCTGCAAACTGTGGGTCAGCATATGAAGACCGTTCAGGAGCTTTAGCTGACTCGGGTGTTAAAAGAGGTTCGCTGGTTGCTAATCTTCTTCTGGGTACAGTTCAAAGTGCTGTGTCTTTCTTTTAAAGGCCTACATGGCCTAGAGCAGAGTGCTTGAAAGACAACTACTGGTGGCACCACCCTGCCTGCTGGTTTTTCATCTCAAGCTCTGTTCCATATGCTCCCACCTATAGAAGTGTGTGTGGGGGGAAGCAGTCAGAAGACAGTGTTTATTTTACGGCGGCCCCATTCATGGAATGCTCTCCTCTCTAGTTTCTTATAGGGCGCTTTCACACGCATGAAATAAGGCACTTTAAATTCACTTTGAATGCACTTTGCAACTGGATTTTTGCTGCGTGAAATGGCAAAATGCACTTGCAAGTGGTCACTGAACAGGACTGAAATTGCATTACCCTGCCACATATTTTGTTAGTCTTTAAGGTGCTACTGGACTCTAGCTCTTTTCTACCACATAATTTAGCATGTGTGAAAGCGCCCCTAGTTTCAGTATGTGATTTAAGACTGTTTAGAATGTCTCCTGCCAACCTAGCAGTTCGAAAGCAAGAACTTGCAAGTAGATAAATAGGTACCACTTCGGTGGGAAGGTAACAGCGTTCCGTGCGCCTCGGTGTTTAGTCATACCGGCCACATGACCACGGAAACGTCTTCGGACAGCGCTGGCTCTTCGGCTTTGGAACGGAGATGAGCACCGCAACCCTAGAGTCAGACTCGACTGGCTTTCGAGCAAGGGAACTTTTACCTTTACTTTAGAATGTCTAGTCCTTCGACTCATTGATCCTGGCCTGTTTTATTCAGCCACGTTTTATTGGTGTTTGTTGTTTTTTAATCTGTAGTTCTGTTTTTATTGACGCTGCCTCCTTTCTGGAACACCGCAGCGCTTCTGATCTGTGTCATGCTGGTTTTTATGTTTGTGTGACTGCATTTTTTAAATTGCTGTGCATGCTGGTTTTAACTGCTTTTTTATTGTTTTCTCATTTCTAAGTCATTAATTATGGTTAGTTAATTTACTTCTCATCTGTGATCCACCTTGAGCAATAGCTGAAAAATAATTTCCAACTTGGGAGACGCCCAACATGCTAGCAGGGCTCTTGCTTGGCACATCATAATGATATACTTGTTGGCCTCCTGGAAAACTTGTGTGGCAGACATCTTTGGATCGCCCGTTTTGTTTTCAGCTCTCTGCGGGAATGTGTTTATTCACTGAGACTGGCTTTTCTGCTTGTTCGTTTCTTGTTTAAGGCTTAATACAGCTGAGACTGATAACATTTTGCAGCTTCTGAAGCTGCTATGAAGAGTCCTTGAAATGTTCTCTGAAGACCTCTAATTAATTAGTAAAGACCTGGATTTGAAAAGCCTCGGATATCATACAACCATTAATTTCCATCTATTATTATTATTATTATTATTTCTATTATTAGTATTATTATTATAATTATCCTTCCTCCTTTGTTGTTCAGTCACACAGTCGAGTCCGACTCTTCGCGACCCCATGGACCAGATCACGCCAGGCCCTCCTGTTTTCCGCCATCCTCTAAGTTTGCTCAATTTCATGTTCGTTGCATCAATGACACTGTCTAACCATCTCATCCTTTGCTGTCTTCTTTGACCTTCAATCTTTCCCAGCATCAGGGTCTTCTCCAGTGAGTGCTCCCTTCTCATTTGGTGGCCAGAGTATTTGAGCTTCAGTTTCATTATCTGGCCTTCCAGGGAACAGTCAGGGTTGATTTCTTTTAGAATTGACTGATTTGATCTTCTTGCAGTCCAAGGGACTCTCAAGAGTCTTCTCCAGCACCATAGTTCAAAAGAATCTATTCTTCGGCGCTCGGCCTTCCTTATAGTCCAACTCTCGCAGCCATACGTGACTACTGGGAATCCTTCCTCCTGCCCCTCATCAAATAAGTGATCTGGCCATGGTGACTCATGTTCTGATTACATCTAGGTTAGATTACTGCAGGGGTCCCTAACCTTTTTGAGCCTGTGGTCACTTATAGAATTCTGACATGTGGTGGACACAGCCACAAAATGACTCCACAGCTTCAGTCACATGGAATTATCTGCCACAAGAAATGGTGGTGGCTTCCAGAGGGAATTGGGTAAACATGGAGCAAAGGTCCATAGAGGAAACTTTCTGTCTGGGGCAGTGATGCTCTGTCTTCTTGGTGCTTGGGGAGCAACAGTGTGTGTGGGGGGGCCTTCTGAAGTTCTGACCCCTCTGGTGGACCTCCCGATGACACCTGGGTTTTGGCCAGTGTGTGACACAGAGTGTTGGACTGGATAGGCCATTGGCCTAATCCAAATGGCTTCTCAAATCACTGTCTAAAAACACACTGTAAGGT